CTGGTTCCGGCCTGCCCGCCTTGTGGTGAGCAGCCCCGTGTGTAACCACTACCCCACCAGGGCTCCAAGGAACTGCCCAACGGGGCGGCAAAAGCAGATCCTACACTAGATCATGGCCTATAATACAAATGTTTTTAATTGACGGAAGGACAGTGAGTCACTTTTTTCCCACTGGGGGGAAAAAAAGGGCGGGGGAAGAGCGGTAGGCCAAACAAGTTGGTGAATTTATGATCTCCTGTGTCCTTGAAGGCTGCCAATTGGCAGGGGCTGCTTGAGGTGCCTGGTCTCCCTGCATTCTGGGGGTCTCTGGGGTGCTGAGCCGGCTGCCCACTTATGCTTGTCAGCAGGGCCAGCATGTGAGGGGTGGCTGCTGCCCCTTGACAGGAGGTCAGCGATGCTCACCCTAACGTGTTCTCTCTTCTGGGGACCCAGGTCTTCCCTGGTGGCCGGGTCCTCACTTTGGCCAGTGCCCGGGCCTCTGACGCCGGCAGCTACTCCTGCGTGGCCGTGAGTGCCGTGGGCGAGGATCGCCAGGATGTGGTCCTGCAAATCCACGGTGAGTCGGAGACCCGGAGACCTGCTCGGTCCAGGGAAGCTGGGGCTGGGGACATCTCTGGCTCCATTCAAAGGAAAAAGGGCTGGTGCCTGGAGGCCGGCTGAGAGCTGTGCGGTGCTGGGGAGAGGAGGTCCCTGTCTTCCCTGGGTAGGAGCCTCATGTGCTGAGCAGGTGGGTAAGGGCGGCAGCCTGCGTGACCAGGAGTGGAAGGAGGAGGAAATAGGGAGAGGAACTCCAGGTATACCAGTAGTTCCAAGCCCAAAGCCAGGCAGCCTAGCCAGCATCCCCGGTGGTGTGTCCCCTGGGGAAAAACCATTCTGGAAAGGCAGTGTGGGTGGTGGCCAGGAGCAGACACGTGAGTGTAGTGGGCCTAAGATTCCAACCGACCTTCTTCACTTCCTAGCCAACTGTTCTTGGGTCGCGCAGTTTGCATCTCTGGACCTTGGCTTCCTCATCTATGACCCGGGGCGGGGCTGGGTGGGGTGGGGGTAGAAAGAATAGCACCCACCTCACAGGTTGCCCCTGGGGAGACAGGAAGCCTATCCGGTGCACACTCACCATCACCCTTGCTCCTGAAGGCCGTCCTGTGGGCTTTGGTGGGGGCCAGTGGAGGTCCACAAAGGGCCTCGGGTGGAGGGGAGGGGACTGCAGGGCAGGTTTCTTCCTT